AACAGGAGATGCACTTTTTCACTGGAGGAAGAGTTATTATGAATTATAAACTCTATGGTATTTTAGTTAAAAATGTCTTAATGCTGGATTTGTTTCAGCTTTTGTCTTCTCCAGATGTTAACTGATGGACTGGAGTGCTGTGGATTACTTGTGGATTATTGTGATGTTTTTATCAGCTGTTTGGACTCTCATTCTGACGGCACCCATTCACTGCAGAGCATCCATTGCTGAGACACTGATGCAATGCTACATTTCTACAAATCTGATGAAGAAACAAACTCATCCTAATCTCGGATGGCCTGAGTTTTTTTTTTGCCTGAAATATTCCTATGGTTTGTGCACTGATATATAAAACAAGCAGAAACATTTTAACAATATATAATATTCTGTACAGTAAATTTATGTCACATTGTTTTAAAAGGACTGGTGGAACTCGACGTCCTTCGCTAATTACTATCGCACTTGGAACATCGTCGTACACGACTGGCTTTATTACTACGGCTACAGAGACTTCCTCTGGGTGAGGACTGATGCTCCTGATCCTCATGTTTGAAATGCATATCATGTTTTAATAATTCTGACATGAAAACCTCTCAATCCCTCAGCTGATGGGTCATAAGCTCCGATCGGTCGCCACGCTGTCTGTTTTTGCTGTTTCTGCATTAGTGCATGAATACGCCTTCACCTTAGGCTTCGGATTCTTCTACCCGGTGATGTTCTGCACGTTCGCGGGCATCGGTGGTAAGAAAGCGAGAGATCCTAGTGTGAAACATACAAAATATAATTATGAACATTGCATTAACAGTGAATGGGATTCAAAAAGAATTAAAACAAGTCATGCACAGTTTGATTTATAGAGCCAATTTTATAAAAAGTGAACTTTGTTCCACCTAGTGAACTCCATCTCCGTCTACAGTTTTTAGTAAAGTTTGTAACAAAAATAATGTTATAAACGTGCATTTTATCAACTTTTGTTAATGCATTAACTAACAAATAAAAATAATAATGCAAATGTAATAAAATTGTAATTTTAATGATATTTACTTTAATAAATGTATTATTATTATTTAATAAAATTATTATAATTAGAAGTGTTTTTTCATTAGTAGTTCTTGTTAATGTAGTTAACTAATATTTACAAATTAAACCTTATTGTAAAGTCTTACCAACTATTTTAATTTATTAATTTTTTTAATTGTATTTTATTTTTTTTATTTTGCCGAACTCATTACAGTGCACTCTAGGATTTCCTTTCTTTCTTAATAAATAAATAAATAAATAAATATAAATATAAATAAATTGGGCCAAAATCTTAAAGCAGTAAGGCTTGTATTTATTTATTTATAATAAATAATTTAATAACAAATTATAGATTTATTATTTTTTATTGTATTTTATTTATTTATTGCTGAACTCACTGCAGTGCATTCTAGGATTTCCTTTCTTTCTTAATAAATAAATAAATAGAGCCAAAATCTTAAAGCAGTAAGGCATGTATTTATTTATTTATATATATATAAATAATTTAATAACGTAAATTATAGATAATTATAATAAATCATTTTAAACACATGCCTTGCTACCTTACGATTTCAGCTATCACAAAGAATTTAGACAGCATCGTGTTGCCTAAGCAGAGCACCTGAGACGACAGGGCATGCTGTCTGGTTAGGGAGCTCACTAGGAACAAGCAGCAGAAATGCAGTGACTGTTTTTCACCTTTCCAGTGGTGTTCAACTTCGCCATGAATGACAAGCGGAAGAGTCCGGTGTGGAACATCATCATGTGGACGTGTCTGTTCATCGGTCAGGGCGTGCATGTGTGTCTGTACTGTGTGGAGTGGTACGCTCAGATCCAGTGCCCTCGCACCGGGGTAAAACACACTCACACTCCAGCTCCGTGATTAGCACATCACTGTTTGGACACTGAGGCTCAGAGACTGTGATGATTCAATTCAGCTCAAGAGCAGCTGAACTGAAGAACACACTGATACATGATGTACGATGTGCTTACAGCTCGGAAATACAGCAGAACACAAGAAATCTGAAGCAGCGCATTAGGGCTGTCAAAATGGCTAAAACACTAAATTCGAATAAATATGATCAAAATTCGAATTTAAAAGGCATAATTTCAGTTAGGGTGAAAAAACGCTTTTGGCTTCTCGCCTGAGGCCACAAGAGGGCGCATCGAGCAAAATATTACTAATGCACGTTTATTCAAAGCATAAGATAACATGACTATCTGTGAAAAAATGTGCATGATGTTTATAAACCAATTATAATTAAGTTGCTTAAACAACTATAAACAAAACTGCATCATGTATGTATGCATAGTTTAATACAAAAGGCCGAAAGCCAATCACACAGAGTGCATTTTTCATTTAAATAAAGGAGTTGCAGTGGGATGGGGGAAAAAACCCGCCATAAAGTCTTGAGATATGTTTTTTCAAAAGTTGAACTTGCATTGATTTTACACGGCTTTCTAAACATGCGGCTCTTTTGTGCGAGACGCGAGTGCAATGGTGATAGATGTCCCTCTAGAAAATGCGATAAATATGCGTTCTGTGTGAACAGCTTGGTTTCAGTTTTGACGTAAACAACAATATCTTCTCCGCATTGATGTTCTCTTTTCCCCGCAATATTTGTAATTAACAACGCAGCAGCGCCGCATCTAGTGGCTTCAACTGGACAGGCTAACAAAAACATTAAAATGCAAGGACACTTACATTGTCATCGCATCTCGTGCGCCGCTGATAAGGCTGCCTCAACGCACACCTAAAATTCGAATGCAACGTTTTTGCATTTGAATGTGGATTTTTATTTTAAATTCGACGAATATTTTAAATTTGCATTTTTTTTGACAGCCCTACAATGCATTGCATTTCACTTGCATTTGCAACTAAAAATTATATAAGCTTGTTTCTGCCACAGAATAAAAAAAATTAAAAATGTCAATGCGACTCTGACCTCACAATTCAGACATATTGCCTTGCAGCTGTGAGACTTGCAATTCTCAGAATTGCGAGATATAGACGCAGATATAAACCACAATTCTGAGAAGAAATGGAGAAATATAAACTTTCTTAAATCAGAATTGTGAGATATAAATGCAGAATTGCAAGGTATAAACTCACAATTCTGAGATGTCTTAATTGTGAGATATTCAGGGGGAAAAAGTCAGAAATGCAAGAAAGGATAAAAAGTCACAATTATTTTTGTCATGGCGTAAACTAGCTTCCATTAAAAAGTTGTCTGCCAACTGTAAAATGCATTTAGGACTACATAGGCTATTTTTTAGACAAAAAGTCTTAATTATCATTTTAAGAGGTCTTAAATTTGAGGCTAGAAAACAGGAATGGCGATCTTAATGTGATTATTAAACTTCAAAACGTGCTGGTTTAATGAAAAAATGTGAGCTCTACACGTTTCAAAGTAAAAACACGCCGCTGTCAATAAATACCGTGCATTTATGCTCAGCAATTGCTTATGATCTGCTGTTGATGAATTATGACAGTGTTGAACTTTACGGTGTTTGTATTGAAATATGTTTAAGAGTGAATATTTTAATGGCCCTCATCTGTTTGAAAGAGCAGCTGGAAGCAGTAAAGACACTTCAAAATAAGAGTATTCGCACACACACTTTAAAAAATCATTTTATGTATTTAATGTATTTCGGGTTTGTTTGTCCCTATACAGCATCATTTATTTTCTGGTTATTATTGTGATTTCGGTTACACACTATCTTGCATTTAATTACATTTTAAAAATATAAATATGTTATAATTTATTATATTACATATACACAATCAGAAAATAAATATAATTCTAAATTCTAAAATCTGCACAACCAGAAAGTTGTTTTTTTATTAAATATAGATAAATATTATTTAAATGATTTTTGTATTATTATTAAAATCATATATCATTATATCTATTAATAATAATATAATATATATATTTAAAAAAAAATAATTATTTAAATATGCTAGTAAATTTCACAAAGAATATGCAAGTAACCCATTTAATTAAACAACATTTTGAAGTAGAAAAACTGTTTTCTTGTAAAACGTACTTCAATATTTGTTTTATTTACAACTTTGAAATCCGGTTATTGTTGGTATTTCGATTATACACTAAACTATATCTGGCATTTAATTCAATGTTTAAAATATAAATAATTCCATAATTATTCAATACAGACTCTCCTCTGCTCGATGGGAAAAGAGTAAGTGTCAGAAACAGATTGCAAAAACATGTAAAAATGACACAGTGTCCACTTGGTGGCACTACAGGATCACTTTGAGTATGCTGGAAAAATATGATAAGATTATGATAAAATGTTACTTTTTTTTTGTGGTGAACTATCCCTTTAAGAACAAGCATTTCTTGCAGTGCTCCAAAACAAGGTCAAGATGCTCCACATGCGCTGAACTAACACGATCAGAGTTCTGTGCAATAATGCCGTAAATCATATTTACCACCCATAAGTTCATATTTTCATGCATTGTGTCCAAACAGACAAGCTTCTGGGAGCTGGTGACGCCGCGCTCGTGGATATGCAGCTACCAGTGACTTCTGCATAGAGCCCAACACAAACCACAGCAGCTCGTCAGCATCAACCACGATGACACATTATGGAATATATTGCATAACGTACTTAATGACTTCATGAAGCACATCAGTCTCTCTGTAAATGCCTTTTACTTTAATTGAATGTTGATTTTAACTTGATGACTGTATATATTTTAATTTATGTAAAGATGCACATTATTAAAAATGATAAATGCCTTTACATTGGTAAAACTGTGGTGTTTATGCTGACAAAACATGGTAAATGCACCCCAGCAAACAGAACTGTTACTACAAACAACTATATATATATATATATATATATATTATTAATAATATTGAAAAAAGTTGAGTACATTTTTTTGTGTGGATTTTTTGATGACTAGAAAGATCTGAAATAAAAAGCTCTTGTAACATTATACACAAAATTCACAATTCAAAAGCTTGGAGTCAGTATAATTTTTATTTTGGGAAAGTATAGAAATTAATACTTTTATTTAGCAAGGATGCTTTTAAATCGATCAAAAGTGATGATAAAGACATTTATAATGTTACAAAAGATTTCCATTTCAGATAAATGCGGTTCTTTTGAACTTTCTATTCATCAAAGAAACCTGAAAACATTATACTCAGCTGTTTTCAACATAATAATAATAATCAGAAATGTTTCTTGAGCAGCAAATCAGCA